GGCATACCCTTGCAAAAGCTCTCATAAAACTCTGTTTCTTGCATTTAGGGTTTACAATTGAGATATAAGAGAGATTCATGTGATGCAATTTCCAGGAAAGTTCTTTAAAGAAGGTTACATGAAGAAAAATAATTCCTGGCCTTTTCTTCTCCAGTGTTCTACATGGAATGACTGGCTCTCTGTTACTTCTTGTCAGTGGAAGAAGAATAGAAGCCAAATCCTAAAAATAATGCTAAAACAGGAAGATAAAGTGTTCTGAGTTCCTGAAACTTGGAAGCTGATATAGCAGCTTTGATCTGCTAAATAGGATTTTTTTAAGAGATAGAAATAAATTTCTAGTTTACATATTCTATGATTATGTGGATATTCTACTATATTGAACTAAATTTAACCCTTTTCTCCTACATCTAAGTTTCTATGCTTATATGTATGCATGTTTATGGATGCATAAATATTGACATGCACATATGTGTGCGTACACATGTACAATTTTCTGTACAAAACCTGCCACCTCATAACCAGATAGTGATCTAGTTGCTCATGCAGGAGTTAATAGTTCAGAAATCAGAAAAGATTTCATTATATTAATAATGTTCTAAATAGGGATATAGATGAAGTAGGCCACAAAGGCCTACTTAATACACTCAGTGTATCTCATGATAGTGGCACCAAACCTGTCCATTGGCTCCTAGGAGTAGGCACTCACAAGGATCATGAAGAGAGAGGTTAACTGGCTGATATTTATTAAGCATCTATTCATTGTTAAGCATGGCAATGGAAGGAGGACATGATTCCTTATTCTACAACTGAGTGTAGGGTGCAGCATGGAAACTAGATGCTGATTCACCTACAGAACTCTGCAGGGCCATCCAGCTTTGAGAGTCAGTTCAGACTCCTTCCTGGGCCTGCCTCAAAAGCTGTATGTGCTTCATCTCTGCCACCTGTCCCTATGTGTAGTGTTCTCTTGCTGTTAATTCTGCTCCAACTCCTAGGCATTCTTCTCTCACAAACCAAGTGCTTGGCTCCCTCTGGACCTCAGTATTTCCGGCTGTTGTGCCTGGAGCTAGAACTGCTGGCATGCCTTCCCCTTCCCAACAGCCACAAGTTTCCCTCCTATGTGAAGTGGTCTTAGATTTCTCTCTAGCACATCAGCTTGCTTTCTGATCTTTCAAGCAGTACTTCTCCACTTTAAGAGCACTAAATCATTTAAGGATCTTGCTAAAAATGCAGATTGTGGTCCAGCAGGGCTGAGGTGGGGTCTGAGAGTCTGCCTTTCCAACCAGCTCCCCTCTTATGTCCATGCTTCTGATCCTTTGACAGTCAGAGTAGCACTGCTTCACTGAACTTACTCAATAATGATCCCACTTGTTATATGACTATTGATACTTGCTTCTCCATACTGTGGCATAAAGGCTTAACAGGGCAGGGATAGCCCTGCCCTATAGCCACCTCTGTAGCCCTAGGATAAAAAACCCCTGCCTAGCATACAGTAGTTACTAAACAACTATAAGATAAATTGAGGCCTTTTAATTGTGACAAGCATTATACAAGGGTATGTGTGCAAGGTTCTGAAACCAAATTCCATCTGGAGAGTCAAAGAAGACCTCAGCAATGTGCAGAACCAGATGTTTGCACAAATATGGAAGAAACACCTTCCCAGTTCTTCCTGTTCTGTCCAGTACCCCTGCTGTAACAGCCAAGTTCGATTTACTCAAGTCTTCAAAATCTCCACCTGCAAACCCAGCTATTAGGAGGATGAAGCAAGAAGATCATGTATTTGAGAAGAGCCTGCAAAACTTAGTGAGATCCTGTATTAAAATTTTACAAAAAAGGGCCAGCCAAATAGCTCAGTGGGTTAAAGTACCTGCTTAGGCAGATGCAGGGGCCTGGAGTTTGATTCCCAGGCCTGCCTTGCTGGCCCTGCCCCCGGGGCATGCTGAGATGGCCAATGAGACTGAGCATGATGGCATGCACCTGTAATCCCAGCACTTGGGAGGCTGTAAACAGGCAGATCACTACAAGTCCGATCTAGTAGTAAGACCCTCTAGACCTTGTAGACCCTGTCCTAAATACAAAAAAAAAAATAAAAATAAAATAAAAAATACAAAAAGATAGGAATGCAGCTCACTGGTAGAGTGCTTGCTAGAATATGCCAGGGCCAGAGTCCAATCCCCAATGCCCATCCTCTAAAAGTGCTATAGAATCTGATAATTTTAAAAGGGATGATGGCAGAGGGGTGGCTATAAAAAATGGTAAATGATAAAACACCATTTGCAATGTGACCAATCCAGCTGTCACAAGGATTCTATCCATACATAAACACTCAGATGCCTCTAACCTGGTAGCACCAGCTTTTCCTCTCGGGCCTGCCGTACTGTGCTCTCACTGTCCCACTGCCTTCCACAGGCTACTCTATAACCAGCAAAAGATGTGGGCTACTAGCAGACTTGCACTTCAGCAATACATCCAAGGTTGCCCTAAGAAAATTGTGGTTCTCTTTCTTTGCTGTAGGGTACTTTTGCCTACAGCACACACTGACAATATCTAGATGTTACAACTAGGGAGGTGGAAGAGGTGCTTTTATAGCGAGTGAACCTAATCATGAATGCTGCTCAACATGCCCACACCATATGAAAATATCACCAGTGCTACCCTTGAGAAACTCACCTGTTTTTCTTCTTTTAAATACTATTGGCTCTTAGTTCCCCTCCTCTGTTAAATTCAGTGATGGAATAGTATGTTTGGTCCCCCTTCAGCTCTGACATTCTAGAAGCTTCGGCTGACATCCAACAATTTTAATATAAATATTTATTACTGAGAGTGATGGAGAAGACTTTCCTTTTGCCTCAAAACGTCAAGTGACAACAGGCAATAGCATCTCGGTGGACTGGGCTGCTGCCCTTTACTTACCACCTCAGTCCTTCCCTTGAGGGCCCCACAAGGGGTGACGGGGCAACTTGGAAGAGGAGCACATCCCAGTGAATATGAATTTGCCATTTACAGTGTATAACAGAGCTTTCCCTGTTTCTCAAAACCAGTTTGGTTTGAAGATTATCACCTTGTTGACACTAGCCTAGTCTGTGAAACTGACAAGCCCACACACCTTTGTTGAAAGAATCTGTTTCCTACCCATCATCTGAGAGCCTGTGACTGAGTAGCTTCATAAATACTCTGATGGAGGATTCCCTGGCACCAGTTTATCTGAACAAAGGTCAATAATATTCCACCCACATGGGAGCCTATCAAAGAAATGCACTAATTGATTAAAGCAATTAAAAAGTCTCTATCATATACAACAAACACCACCAACACTGATGAAAGAACAGTCTGGTGATCTCAGCCATGTGCTGAACAAAATCTAGTGAGTGACAACTTTTCAAAGGTCAGTACAAAACAAGGAACCCTTATGAACATCAAGGCAATTCTTTCACTCCACTGAAGCAGTTCAATACAGGAGGTCATGGGTCTTTCATAGCCATGTAAAAGGGAGAAGTAAAAGTAATTAGACAAAATAGATGCTGTCATCTTACTTGTTCCAAGCTCCTCCCCAGAGCAACTGAACACTGAGCTACAGCTTTCCAGCTTCACGGAGAATCTGGCAGCAGATTCCACATGAAAATTCCACAACTTGATTTCCCTCTCACCAAAGCTGACTGTGTGTTTCTTAGGAATGTCTACAGCCTTGGAAGGTAAAAAAAAAAAATGTTTTTAACCAAATGCATAGATGATGCTATGAACTTTCCACTTAGGTTGGATCCAGAAAGGATCTGAACACTCACAATCGTGGCTGACAACTAACTACACAATCAGACTCGCTGTACTGCTTGAAGAGTTGCCCTGGAGTAGAAGAAAAAATTCCAGATCTAAGGACGGCCAGAGTTTTCCAGTCGAGTAGACATCTGCAGACTGTATGGTTCACTCAAACCCTAAATCTTCAACTCGGAGTCAAGCGCATGTGGAGCGCTTGACTCATATTCAGGTTCAGACCCACCAGGTCAGAATCAGCGAACACCTTAAAATCTAAGGCCACTGGTCTACAGCACTCTGTGAGATAATTCGTTGCTTTCACCCAGCTTGAGTTTCCCCATTGGGAAGATCGAGATAAAACAAAATGCACAAAACAAAATGGGGTAAAAAGAGAAGGAACTCTAAGGAATGCCGTGGTGTGTGATCCTGGGAGTTAGGAGTGTTAACGTGGACTTCCCACTCCACGTTTCTGCAGCTCTCATGGTTAGGCGGACGTCACTTTTGTAATCAGGGGAGAAATTCTTTTCAAATGGAGCTAATGCGCTTTCACAACACTGTACAGAAGATTGGGAAAGGGCCTAATTGAGAAGCGCCTGCGGCGCTGCATCGCAGCCTCCTGGGAGGTGGTCGCTGAAGTGGACAGGATAGCTAGTGACTGCAAACTGGACTACGCAGACTCGCACCCCCACGCCATCTGGAAAGCACTGCCCGCTCAACCCCGAGGTTCACAGAACCTCAGCTCAGAACTGAAGTTTCAGCGGAGCGGCAGGCTCTGTAACTTTCCCTGGAATGAAATAAATAATTAAAGACCGTAATTGCAGACATAGCGAATCCCACAAGATTTTACGCTCTCTGCAATCAGTCCGCAAAACAAGAGAAAGGCGAGGAGAATAAAAAATCTTGATCTGCTACAGAAGGGGCTCCAGGAATACTTGTCTTGAGGACAGTCCAAGTCTTGGCTGCCAAGTCGGTGAGCTGTTCATCGCCTAGAGTGAAAACTCCAGCGCAGAACAAATCACGACATCCGAGAGGTGTCAGGCGGCCGTCCCGGCGGGCAGGCCAGTCCTGCTCCGCGAGCCTCAGGGTCTCCCTGACGTCATCTGCCTCTTGACCTGTCCTCTTTGGTAGGACGGGAACGGAAGGCCGCTGAGGCGGGATTGCGTGCGCTCGCGTTCCCGCAAATACGGCCGGAGGAGTCCAATTCCTCGGGCATTTTCCGAGGAAGTCTGGAGCAATTAGGCTCAGTCCGGGGAGAGCGAGCCGGAGAGCAGGCGGGCGGCGCAGCCGGCGTGTCTGGGCCGCCTCACAGGGAGGGAGGGCGAGGGCGGGGGCGGCCGGCCGCCCGGGCGGCGACCCCGGGCCCCGGCCGCCAACATGGGCTTCGAGCTGGACCGCTTCGACGGCGACGTGGACCCGGACCTGAAGTGTGCGCTCTGCCACAAGGTCCTGGAGGACCCGCTGACCACCCCGTGCGGCCACGTCTTCTGCGCCGGCTGCGTCCTGCCCTGGGTGGTGCAGGAGGGCAGCTGCCCGGCGCGCTGCCGCGGCCGCCTGTCTGCTAAAGAGCTCAACCATGTCCTGCCGCTCAAGCGCCTCATCCTCAAGCTGGACATCAAGTGCGCGCATGCGGCGCGCGGCTGTGGCCGGGTGGTCAAGCTGCAGGAGTTGCCGGAGCACCTCGAGCGCTGCGACTTCGCGCCGGCGCGCTGCCGCCACGCGGGCTGCGGCCAGGTGCTGCTGCGGCGCGACGTGGACGCACACATGCGCGACGCGTGCGACGCGCGGCCCGTCGGCCGCTGCCAGGAGGGCTGCGGGCTGCCCCTGACACACGGCGAGCAGCGCGCGGGAGGCCACTGCTGCGCGAGGGCGTTGCGGGCGCACAACGGCGCGCTGCAGGCCCGCCTGGGCGCGCTGCACAAGGCGCTCAAGAAGGAGGCGTTGCGCGCGGGCAAGCGCGAGAAGTCGCTGGTGGCGCAGCTGGCGGCCGCACAGCTCGAACTGCAGATGACCGCGCTGCGCTACCAGAAGAAGTTCACCGAGTACAGCGCACGCCTCGACTCGCTCAGCCGCTGCGTGGCCAGCCAGGCACCCGGCGGTGGCAAGGTAGGCGTTTGCTGCTGACAGCAGAGATCCCCTACTAGGTCCCCTGATGACTCAGGCCGCCCTGGCCTTTGGAGCACTGGAATGCCAGTTCCCAGGAGCATTCCTGCTGTCCTACTCTTCCAGTGCTTGTCTACCAAATTACCACATGCTGGTCTTGGAACCTAAGCTCAGTGACTGGTCCCTACAAGCCCATGCATTTCGTGCGTCTCCAAAGACTAAAGAAGCCTTCATTTGAATGTAGGGTGAGCAAGAAAAGCGGAGCTCTGGAGGCATAACTGTTGTGACAGTGCTGCGTAGTGCATGTGGGTGATATCAGGAAAGTCACTCTCTTAAGGCAGGAAACCCTAGTCCTTACAGATATGACACATCGCGATGTGAACTGTGGCCATCACCCTCCGCAGGTCCAGAATGAAGAGAGAACCCAGAACCAGTGCAGAACATGTGGAGAAGGAGGAGGCCAATAGCGAGGCCTCTGGTATAAATCAACTGCATTCAGACGTGGGCTTTGCGCCCTGGCACTGTCTGACCTTGAGCGAGCTGCTTAACTTTTCCAAGCTGGAACAGGGGTCCTAGAGACAGGAAAGAGTAAAACATAGCCAGGCACCCTGTGAGCTTTTCAACTGGGGGTCTCAGGAAGCATTAGAGGGTCCTTCCTGCCCTCAACAAGAGCAAAAAGCCCGAGTCTTTGGGAGAAACAACTATTTTCAAATTGCTGAGCAGCTGGGTGACTTTGTGGCATGACCTCCACAGGTGCCTCAGTTTCCCGCCATGTAAAAGTTGATGGTTTCTTTCAGGGAGAGGATTTATCCTAAGCTCTGGCACTGTGCCTGACAGCAAGCAAATGCTCAACACATGTCACCTGCAGTTATTTTTAACATCTCCTGAGCCCATCCCCTAGTGCTGCTTGGTGTAATTAAGGGTAACAGCCTCCCTCTGTGAGTGAGTGTTTGCTTTGTTCCCTGTGGTCAGCTCTTCCCAGTCATTTTCTTTTGCACTGAAGAAGATAGGTGTGGTGCTTCCCATTTTGTGGCTGCAAAGACAGAGGTTTGTGGGGGTCTTGTGCCTGGGTCACAGTTTCAAGTGCCACAGTTGAGTTTTGACCAGTGTACCCATCTGTGGAACCCGAGCTAAGTCCACCGTCATGTTGTCTGTCAGTAAAGTCATGAAAGCGGGTTACTCAGCGTTCATTAAGTGCCAGCAACTGTGGGAAGCACTGCATGTATTACCTATTTAATCCTTCCAGATGAGGAGAACTGACTCAGAGGTTATGTAACTTGTCCAAACTCAGTCAAGGACTTGGGGCTAAGCTCTGGATTCAGGTTGTGCTTCTGCTCTGTCCATGCTGGAATGGGATGACATTTGGGGCTGTATAATTTCTTGTAGTCTGGTACTGCCCTGTGCACTTAGCAGAACCCCTAGCCATGACTCGCTGAATACCAGGAGCTCTCCCTTTCAAATCAAGACAAGCAAAATGTCTCCAGATGGTGTCAAGTGTCATCTGGGGACAGCATTGTCCAGGTTGAGAACCTCTGGTTTCTCTGATCGCAAGAGCCATATTTTCAACAGCTGAGTGCTTCTGCCTTTCTGTGGAGGGCCCATGGCTCTTGGCACTCTGGTTGTCTGCTCCAGATGGCCTGGAAGAGAGGGGAACATATTTACCCAGGGGGACCCCAGGGGCCTGTGTCTGCTTCGCTTCCCCCTCCCCTCCACCAGCCCTTCTCTCCCATACATGCACAACAGGCCTGCAAGTTTTCTGACACCCCCCTTCCTGGCCCCTGGCCTGTCTGTCAGCTGCAGCCTCAGCAGCTGGCCAGCTCTGGGCGAAGGGCAAATATTTACAGCTCCTCAGCTCACCCAGGACCGCACAGGCACACAGAACATTGGTGTGAGTCTGTGAGTCACCACAACAGAGGGTAGAGCTTGGTTTTCAGTCAGGCGCCAGGTTTGAGGCAAAAGAGTTCCCTGAGCTTTCTCCTGTTTATGCTGTCATCTGTACTTCCTGCGTCATTTTGAAAGTGATTTGTGTTTATAAATAAGCTATTCACTCCCTCAAAGTTTGTGCATCATTCATTGTTGAGCTGGTTTATTATTCCTTCTTGCCTTTCTGTTTTCCTTCTGGAGTGTTTGGATAAAGTGCTCTCTCAGAATCAAAAATATGAAACTTGAATCAAAACTGTGGATGTTTTTGAAGTTGGTGGGTACATGGGAGAGATAAGGGTTTTAAGCTTGCAGCCAAGATGTTGATTTTGAGTGTACAGGGAAAATTGCATTCCGAAGTGGGAGCCCTGCTGTAGACATTCAGGGGCCTCACTGCCAGCCTTGGAGACAGCCAGCGATGGCCTGGCCTGAAAGGTCCCCTAAAAGGCTTCTCTGGCCTCAGGCCTGGCAGGCCTCAGCTGAGGCCTTGGGGAAGCTTTCTCCTTGTGTCCCGAAGTTAACCTTCTGTGTCCCTTGCTGAGTGCTGTGCTGTCTCTGCCTCAGCCATAAAATCTCCTCCCATTGGAAGCTGTGTTAGAACTTCTTTATTTCATAGGGCCACTTTCTGCTCCTGCTGCTTATTCTGATCATTCTCCTCTAAAAAGCAGAAGGATTTAAATCACCTGGAAGCTCTCATTTACAACATTTTTATTTCATTTTTTTCTCACAGCTAATGTTTGCTCCTCTATTACAAGCTGAAGTAGATAAGAAACACTTCAGAAGAATTTTAATACCAGATCTAGAGCCTAACGCTTGTTCTATAAATGATTTGACATTTTTCAAGTTATCTTTGGTGTCAGTTTTCTTGACACCTGCTGAACGCCTAGGGTTTGACAGTACTGTGCTTGTGTATACATTGTTTCCTGTACAAAATGTGAGGTAAATCGGGGCTTCTTTAACTTAAGTATGCATGGAGTCACTGGAGAGCTTGTTTAAAACAAAAACTCAAAACACACACACAAGCACGTGCGCACACACACACATACTCCTGAATATCAATCCTGAAGATTGTGGTCCCCACTAGGGCTAGTCAGAAGCCTGAGATGCTGCATTTTTAATAAAGACCATTTGTGAGTCCTTTGAGTAGCTGCTGAGTTAAGAGTTCAAGTATAGACATAGACTAAACATGCATTGATCTTTACCACACACTGGCGATCTTACTGGTTGTGGTCTGTCTGTTTATTTGTTTACTTGTGCTGGCAATAGACAGAGGCCCTTGCAAGTACTAGGCAAGCGTTCCACCACAAAACTGCCTCCCAGCTCTCTGATATTTCTCTGAACACTCCTTTTAAAACATTTCAGTGTCTCGCAACCAGTCACAAGCATTTATAGTTGACTGTTTTCTCTAAAGGTAACTGTGCCCTGCCTGGGGCCACCCCTAGGCTGCAGCAGACATGGAAGACCACACTGCACTATGGGGAGGAGTCGCACTTCCAGCCTCAGTTTCCCATCCTAACTTAACCTGGATCTAGGGGCAAAAGCGTTTCAGAACAAAAGTGTTGTTTGTGTTTTAAAGGAAAGGAAACTTTCTTGTGAAATCTACTATGGAGTTATTGAGAAACTCTAGATTCATACTTTTGGTCCTAGACCCCCACATAAGTCTGTCATTATGTCTAGCAGATTTTACCTTCTAAGTGCTTCATGAATCTATTCATTGCTTTCCTGCTTTTTCAAATGATCACCCGGGTGTAAACCAGGATTCCTTAGCCTCGACAGTTAACAGTTTGGAATGGGTGATTCTTGTGTGTATATTTGTTGCAGGGGAGAGGGGGAGGCTTACGGGGCAATGGCTCTGTGTACTGTAAGATGTGTCAAAACATCCCTGGCAGGGCCACAGAGATAGCTCAGCGGTTTAGGTGCCTGCTTAAGCAAGTACAAGGACTTGGGTTCGATCCACCACTGCCATTCTGGCCCCACCCCAGGGCATGCTGAGCTGGCCACCAAGACCGGGCGTGGTGGAGCACCCCTGTAATCCCGGCGCTGGGGAGACTGAAACAGGAGGATAACTATAGGAGTCTGAGCTGCTTAGTGAGACCCTGCACCAAATACATTTTTTAAAAAAAATCCCTGGCATCTGTGTACTTGGAAGGGTAGCACTTCCCAAAGTGTGATAGTCAAACTTCAAGTCTTTTCTAATGTACACTGGGGGACAAAAATGTCATTTTTCTTAGCTACCATCATCTCTGTCAGGACCACAACTGTTCTTTCCACATATCTTTTTGTTCCCCTGTAATTCAGTCTTTACCTGGCATAACCTAATCTCTTAGAAATATAAATCTGATTCTCAATCTGCCTTCTAAAACCTTCTCTACCTTCTGCTCCCTTGGATGACTTTAAGGCCCATCATGGTCTGGGTTTTGCTGACCTCTGTTTGTTTTCTCCCCTTCATTTCTATTCTTCCCAATTTACTGCTCCCTAGACTTCCATGACTATTCCCCAAAGTCCTGTCATACCCATGAGCCTTGGCACAGCCTATTCATATGTTCTTCCTCAAGTAACCTGGAGATCTTCTGCCCTTCCTATGCCTGGCCTTTCTTTCAGAACTTAGTTTGATCCTGAGTAGATTACTTTTCATTCTCTGCTTTGCATGTCAGCTCCCTGTCTCCAGGAAGCTATGTTTCTCTGATCTCACAGACAGTGTCTGGTGCTGTAAGATTCTCCCTCATGTGCAGTATCCCAACCCCTTCCTGTATGCATCGCAGCTGCAACTGAACAGTTACAAAAGTCTGCTTTCAGGAATGTGTCCCCTGCCCCAGATCCATTGTCATGTGCACTGTAAGCTCATGATACCTGTTCTATGGATGAATTCAGGACTGAAAAAGCTGTCTTGTCAGCTGTCAGAACTTTTCAGGTTGCTAACCAAGAGTAGACTTGTGTTTATAAAAAATGAGTTTTTCTTTGACACCACTCCCCCCATTAACAAAATTGTTTCCAGGTTTTGGGAGGCATCATTTTTCTTCCATTGGATCCACCCAGATCAAGTTGTATAAAGCCTCAAATCCGAAAACTATTTTGTCCATTTT